CATGTTTCAGAAGCATTATAAAATATTTGTAATTGAAATAAAAATATTATTGTTTTTAAAACAATAAGTTGATTTGTTTAAAAATATTTTAAATACATTACAAATTCACATAAACGTAAACAGAATGTATGGAATTACTATGTATTTAGCTATAAACGTCACGTTAAGAAATGTGTTAGAAAGTTGCCGGCGAATTAGCGCCTTGGTGTGAAGTCGTTCACTGACGACTCTGTCATGATGTATGTATCATGTATTTACAGCGTTAACACTGCACGAAGTCAGGTTCATAGGTGCTAAGCTGTTAAGTGATCGAAAACCAACAATACCTGACAAACTTATGCTTAGTAAGAACTGTTGCTTTTATCACACCGATCAGAAATCGAACTGAGGACTGTAATTACCAAGGCAAAAAGTTATAGGCACAGCATCGGTTACAATTTTTAATTGTGATTACGATCACTTATTTCTAAGAAAAAACGAATAAGATTAGTTTTCTATTGTATTATTAGTAATGTAATAAATAATATTATGCATATATGACAGTTAAAATTTGAATATAATAAAGTAATAAGCAAGAAGACAAAAGGAAGCAAACAAAAGACATCAACGCGCTAGATGATGTCTTCGCGCTCGTCCATTTGTGACGATATTTTAACAAATATTACGGACACAGGCAATTAGTTCTGCAGTTTTCATGAGAAATGAATAATTTCCTCTATCAAATGATTATTACAATTAATTGCAATAATTTAGATACCATAACATTGAGGTATACTGCTAATAGTAAACTGTTGAAAAAATTATAAATACCAAATGTTGGGACAGACGTCGCCAAGTATCGTATCGAGCGGAAATTGGTACATCAACATAACACATAGGCTGTAGTTGATAGAGGCATCCTACATGTCTCGGGTTTATGCAGGATACGAAAGCTCCACGACAATTTCCTTTCGACACTCGTTTACTATTCCAACGGGCCATTCGTTTCGTTTGACGGCTATTTGTCATGCCTTTTACAAGGTTGCGAGAATAAGTTTTTTTTTCTATTTAAGTACTAATATTAACCGATATTACGGACAAATTATCCATTTACACACTTTAAAGACTTGTGTTCAGTTTGTAATATCTTAACAAGGATCAATCAACTGACATTTTAATTAAGCAAATACACATGTTTTCATACAAATGAGTAACTTTTAAATTATTTGCACGATTGAGCACGTTAGAAAAACACCCAAAATAACTCATTTGGCCTTTGTTCTTGTTTCGCAGATAATATAAGGACCTAATTAGTTCGACGTGTGCGGTACATCATTAGTTATTCCCGCAATGCCACCTAACGCATACTAATCGCGTCGTGCCCGTGCCGTGCCGTGTCGCGCCTTGCCGCACCGTGCTGAACCGTGCCGCGACTCGGGTTATCTCACATCTATTCAATTACGAAGTCGAGCTTCCATTTTACCTTCACAAATAAAAGGAAAGTCTCATATTCTAAGCACGAGATGAAAATAATATTGTTTTTTATTTTTATTTCAATTAAAATTATGTAATTACCAAACGGATATTGACTCCCATACAAAAGTTATTGATAAGTATAAGCACACTTTTTTGTATGCATTTCTTTTGGAATCTGCTCGGTCACCTTTTACGATATCTCAAGTAAAGTGAGACCGCTACTTTACAAATGATATAAAGTAGCCTCGGAAAGCGCACGGGAATAATAAATTACTCATTTTTATTAATTTTTAAGTATCCATATTGACATTGTTAAACGGATCATATTTTGTATAATATGTTAATTGATAGTAAGTACTGAATGTAAGTAAATGTTGTATATAGTTATAACTTTTAACATTATTAAATAAAGTTAATTATTCGTAAAAAAATGTGATTATCATTTCTTAACAAAATACACAGACACAGACCTAAAATAAATTAAAATAAATCCTCTTTACACTGCACTGAACACAAAAAACAAACACATGATCGCACAAAAATCAGTAAGACAAAATGTTGCACTGCACTTTTGATAGACGCGAAAAAGTTTTACCGCCCGTCGTAGGAAGTGCACAACGACCGACACGCGCACTCAAGTGAAGCTACGAGAGGATACTGTGCCACCCGTCGCCGCGCCGGCTAGCACGCGCCGAACTTCTCCTCACCTGTACTATCTACCCCTACACAATCAAAACACTTCAAAAGGTTATACTGAAACACAAAGTTTTCAATCTACAGTGCTCGTCATATTTTCAATGTTTGTGTATTAAGAAATATATGTAAAATAAATAGTATATCTTTCTCCCGCGCTGTACAGTGCGCAGTGTGAGTGTGACCCGGCGGGGGCGCGCGCGTTGTTTTCTTATTTCCCGCGCTCGCGCTCGCACCCCGCACTGCGGCCCACGCTTTTTTATCAAACTCTTTTTGCATTCTCTTGCAATATTCCCATTGTTAATAAATTGCAACTCGACTCATGTACATACATGTAAATACATGTTATAGGTGACCAAGTATAATTCTTGGACGTTTAAGAGATTAAATTTTTCATAAACTAAAATAATGTTAGTTCAACTTTATATGAAGAAAGTTATGAGATTGTGAAAAGTCAAATATAACAGATCATCACACCATTGTAAATCAATTTAAAGGTTTAACCACAAAACCTCAAATGTACAATTGTTGATAGATTCACACGAAGTTTAATATCCTCCCTCTCTTCGGTTGCTATTAGTTTATATGTGACTTACGGTAATTTGTGATTACATTTTATGGTATGATTTTGGTTTTACTTTTTGAGATTTCACATTACTCCTTCTCCACGGCATAGACCTAAATTATATAGAAATTTTTACATTTTGCAAATTATTTTTATATTCGGCGAAGCGTGAAAGTAGAGAAGACGCAATTTCAAAGGTGATACCATTGTTAGACGAACAGTTTTTGTTCGACAAAACTATCCTGTATCGAATCCGGTTTATCTAGTGCATGAAATTATAAATATTGCAGGAACAAAAGAAATATCTTGTTACTTGACAATTTTCTAATATTTAATAATTTTGCAAGTCCGTACAGTACATAACGACTGGGTACAATAAAACGCAACACAGGCTCGGTACCTTGTTAACAGTTCAATGGCAAACAATCTGATTAGAACAGCAGCATCTAGCCTTATAGGAAGCACATAGGCACTGCACTGGAGGCAGCTGGAGAACAATAAAATTACATGTTATCGTCAAAGCAACGGACGGGCACGGGTATTACACGCACACCCTGCATCAAACCGGTCCACGGCTACCGATCGTCTGGTACATGAGCTCAAGTAACATATACAATTAAAAGTTAGGATAAATATGCACTAGAAATCACATATTAAACAAATGCAAATGAAATTGTAACAAACAGTGAACGGCAGGATGAATATTGCAGTTGTCAATAGTTGTCCATCTTACACACATCTACTATGTTAGTGAGTCTCAACGTCTCCCACACCACATGTAATTAAGTAATATTACTTGTAACTTGCGAAGTCTATGAAACGGTTCATTCTGCAGTTTTGCTAATTAACACTTATTGGTCAAATTAGATCGTAGCGAGGTTTTCTCTGACATTTTTATTCTTCTGCAATGCCATTAGAATTGATATAATTGCATTTGTATCAATTATCGCGTTGCACCGGCGCGTCAGTTTGCGTGCGCGGCCGTCACACTCTCTTAGCCACCACTGGCGCCGCGTGCTCTCTCTGTCTATGCCTCATTTTTTACAAGCTGCAAAATTGCTCTGCTTATCGGTAAGCACATCATTATGTGAAGATTGCAGTTTCGATGTGAAGAACAAAAAAAATCAACTATTTTTTAATTATATCACGCTCTAGAATTAAACTGATTCCTCGGACCGTCTTAGCAATCTCGATATTCAATACGCACCTCCGGCATTATCAATTCCAAGCGATCTCTTAAAATCTTGTGCTAGAAATCTTGGAAGCATAATGTACGGCCACAAATGCATATACGGCAACCAGCCGTAATAACGCTACAATATTACTCATGAATAAATTAGCCACATTCGCTAATGTTATTTAGCAGCTTTACGCTTGCATTTTATTTCGACGGATGTAATAAAATTTATTATTTAGATTCTGATTAATATGTTGCTATAAAACAGCAAATTGCTCAAATGATATTAGATTGAAACCACACGTGTGTTATTCACAATTTTATTACTCGCTTGGAAAAACACAAAAATTGGTCTTAAAATGACGCAGTATGATGATACAGAGAGAAGCAACATTTGGATTGACGCCATATTCATATTTTTGGTTATTAATTCTCTGCTATGATTTAGATTTCTATTTAATGTTATTCGCAGTATTTGCAGAGAACCAGCAAAAGATAGACTCAGAATGTTGTTAAAAGGCTTGGTGTCAGTTTAATATCGAAGTTCTACAAGCTGCATTTAGTCGTTTTGTGTAGTCACGATATCACCCAGTGGACGTTCTTGCCCCTGAGATGGGTCCTATATAATAATAATTGTAGGTATAAATTCATAACGTCCGGTGCGTCCGCCCGACATTGGATATGAACCACGGCTTGCACCGTTACGACTCAAGTTAAAATGAAGATACAGTGTTATCATCTGCAATTTAATCTAATCTGTATGTTGAACATACAAACACAAACTAAAGCGGCTAAATTGTGCTTAAGAAAACGGTAATAAGTCGTGCTATGTTGTATTTCGCATTTCCTGTTTACATCGCGAATCTTCTTAAACTTCTATTAGGATGTTATTTACAATAAAGAAGCAAGCCGTTAACCATCGGTATGCGATACAATAAAATGTCTACGCTTCGTAAGAGTCCATATTTAAATACCAGATTACATTGAATTGATTAATACAATTATTTGCGAACTTTTCACACTCCACTCTACTCCCACTACTAATAAAGCAACACGTAATGATATCAAACGGTAAGGTATGAAATATTTTAGTTTCAAATATAATAAAACTGAATTATTTATTCTTAAACAATTTTAATGATGTTAATTAAGAATATTTTTTGCGTTTCCGTCTCTCGTCGTAACTTGTTTCTTTGTCTCTGACGTCATATCTCGTGTTGTCTTTGTCACGGAAACTGTTACATTTATTATAATATATATTTGAATCACTCGTTCTCATGTAATCTCTTGTACAACTAGAGTTGATATATTCTCTGGTATTATATTTGTCATGAGTTCGGCTGTCGTGCCTACGTTCAGCTCTGCCACTTGATGATGCGCTGGAACTACGTCTTTTGTGATGATCCTGCCTACGAGAAATCGCGGTCTTTTCCTGTTCTCTATTTCTACTTTTTGTTTCGGGGTTTCGAGTATATTCTTTAACAGGAACATCATACCCTCTATTGGAATTTCTTTCTCTATGTTGTTTTCCTAAACTTTTTTCGAAATAAGCAATCCTTGTACTTGTACTTTTTAATTGTTTATCTCTGGATGTAGAGTCAGAATATCTACTTTTCTCTTGGTTATTGTCAATTTCTTTGTCTGTGTTGCGTTCGTTTTCTTGTTTTATTGTTACCTTATCCTCCCTGTTTTTGTCTTCCGTGTAATCAGAAGGTTGACTTTCAGAGCGACTGTAATTGCGCCGAAGGTCTGGAGTTTCAGTTTTTTCTACTTTAAAAAGTGCACTTGTTCCGTTATTCCCTTCATTTATGGGCCTAGAAGTGTTGCCATAATCTGGATTCTCATCTTTATCCGGTGAATCTTTCTCTTGTTTGATATGGGTATGAGCTGGCGAAGTTCGAGTTCTTCCAGATCTTATTCTCTCGGGAGAATCCGATCTTTCCGTTTTGAGAAACGCTTTCCTCCTGTAAGTATTGTGATAACTGGGAGATCGTTCGTGTCTGCGACTTTTTCGTCTGTCTCTTGAGTCTCTGTCTGTTGTTCTAGAATATTCTGACTCGTCGGAAGTGTAACATTCCTTACTCCTCTTTCTTTTGTAACTATTTCGTGTTTGTGTTTCTGTAATATTTATTTCCGATCTATGTTTTAAGTGATATTCTTTGTTCTCGTATCTTCTATAACTTGACGATGTATTCTTGTCTTTGGACTCAAAAGCTTTTTCTTTTGTAGAATCTGTACCTCTGTCAATAAATTTCTCGTGATTGTATGAATGATATCGATCTCGTTGTCTTGATGAATTATATCTGTTCGTTTCTCGACTGTGTGACTTGTAATAATTACCGGAACGTTCTCCACTTATATCTCTATTGGAAACATAAGTATCACGATGTCTGTCCCTGGAGGAGGATTGATTAGAATAATCATTTTGAATACAAATATCATCATTTGTCGAATTATTCTCATTAGACTGTTCAGTAAACTGCGACGTTCCCGAATAGGACTCCATCTAAAATTAATATGATTTAATTAAAATCAAATCTATGAATTTCGTAAGTATTGTAATGCAATAAAAATAATGAAAGGAATAAATGATAAAACAATTTAACACCTGAGTTTTAATAACGTCTCTTAGAACGTCAGAGTAGTTCCGTGTCTTGGCGGCTTGGCGGTACTTGGTGCGGCGACGTCTCATGTCTCGCAGCTCGGCCAGGATCTCCACACGGGACTTCACTTTACTCGCTCCCTCATCGTTACTACAGCTGAATAAATTAATAATTTACAGTAATCGCTACCTACATTTATTCATCAACTCAAAGTTTTATCTTACCTGGGCAAAGCCAAATCTGCAAGATCATGGCAGGAGGGCACAGCACGCACCACGGCATCGTGTACGGCACGCCGCTCGTCGGCGGTGTACGTGGCCTGCAGCCGCGCCAGGCTCCACGGCTCCGAGGACCGACACTCCCAATTGTTGCCTTATATTTATTAAAGAAATCATTCAAAGGATAGGATGATATAAATATAGTTTTAAGTCTCAACACATTCTCCTTTTATTATTTTCCTGATGGAAAATATAATAAAATACTAACAATATTAAAATTATGTTTGTGCCATACCAAAATATTTAGTGGATATACAATGATAAATATAGTACAGTCAAACCTGGATAAACGAAATAAGCAACAGTCAATGTCCCGCCCTGAAGGACAACTTCCATAAGCAAGAACCTCAATAAGGGTGAAAAATATTGCAGTCCCTTGGACTCACACCTATCCAGGTCCATCTGTATACTTAAATACTGTATATTAAACAATTTAATAAGCATAGATTAAATTTTATAAGATAAATTGCTATGAATTCACAAAAAGGATACATATCAAGACCATCATTTATGGACGAAAAAAAACAAAAATAACTGCTGTAAAAAGGAAAATTCACATAAATATACACATATATTACATTGTTACAACAGTTAAATTAAAGATTTTGTGTACCAATATAAATTAATATTGACAAATAAATGTAACATATTACATACCTCTCTTAAACATTGGGTCACATCTTGATGCATCATTCAGTATTGCAATTATTTGTTGAGTACCTGCATAGTACAGAATAACAAGATGAAATTTTTCTTCCCTTCCTTCCTACATCTATTCTCTTGACCCCTATAGTCCCTCCAATGATAAAAGTTACATTTTATAAATATTTTAATATATGGAGATCCCATATTTTTGTTTTTTTATTCAGTATGACTATAAGTATTAATAATTATTTAACATGAAGTAACTTGCTTGTACCAATCTGTGAAACTAAATTAAGTATTTCTCTATACTGATCTTACTATTTCACAAGTATTTTGATTTATAAAATAGTATTCTATATGAGAGCAATCAATCCAAAAAATGTGTATTATCACATAAAATAATTCACTTACTTAATTTAACGAGAGTATTTGCATGTATGTCCAAGGGTTCAGGCAACAATTCATCATCTTCTGAATAGCCTTGCAATTTCATGAAACACCTCTTTTGGTGGAATTCCACCTTCTCTAGGGGCAGTTTGTGGTTGTTATTATAGCGGCATGTTTCCATTGCCAAATCCTACGAGGAAATAAATACATAGTATTTACACGCTAAAGACATGTCATATCCATCTTAGTGTCCATTCAATGTATTATTATTGAAATCTATAAATAATCTTTAACAAGTTACGTTCTTTTTAAAATCTCCATAAACCTTCAAATACATGCAGTACTAATTCTTACCGATAAAAGGTTTTTTCGATCCCATTGCAAATTTTGTAGTATCATTGTCAAATCTTTCTCAACTCCTCCTACAAAACTACGCAGTTGATCTAACTGCTTTAATCTTGTTTCCATTATATTGTTTTTGTTGTAAGTCAGTATAACTTATTTAAAAAGTATATTTTACGGTATTTGATAGGATTCTTTCATTCAAGCCAAGCAGAAAATTGTCATAGATTGTAAGATCAAAGACGTCATGATGTGTCAAATCTATTTTGCAAATAGTATGAAGAGACCATAAACACTATGTTTTTATCTTTACACGACCTCTATTAGTGGATAGGCTAAAAGCCGTAGTTTTTGTTTCTATTTGATTTTCGTTTTTTGCTGCGCAGAAGGCAGTAAGTAGTTTTTAGCGGTAGTAAGAATTCGAACAAATAACAATGGATGACATTAATGCATTAACCGTTAGTAACATCAATAAACACGCTTAAGTGGAAACGATGCAAAATGGCAAAAGCTGTCATTTCCAAACAATGACCTATCCATTTTTAGAGGTTAGTGTTTCTGTCCATTACCGTTTCCGTCAATGCTTTGTCTATGATCTTTCTAGAAAAATGTATTTAAACTCAGATTTTGCCTTGCTAAAAACCATTGATGAAACTTTTTTAAAACTACTCTAGAAATTATTATTTCATTTATTTTCTAATTTTTGAAGAAATCTTTCCGTATCTGATAATCACTGGCAATTATACTTTTGTGACAGTTCTTTGATCCAGTTCCCCTTCCCTCACCTCATTTGTCTCTTTTACGTCCGAGCGAGCAAAGCAAGTGTTTTGGTTAGGGTTAGGTGGGCAAATTTTGATCTGTTTTCTTTACAGGACAATTTGTAATAAATATACAAAACTATCTGAATGTTTGCAGAAAATGGCAGATACAGAGGTGATTTTCTAAACCCTTTATCTAATCATACATCAAACCAACTATTCTGGTAACGTACGTTTCATTACAGGTATTAAAGAAATTGAAAGATGTCCCATTTAAAATCCAGACCGCAAGCTTGAAAGAAAGACGCGAAGTCATTGAAGAAATTCAAGATGTATTAGCCACGCCAGGTAATTAGTTATTTATTCAATTATCGTAACTGATATATGTATAAGATAGTACATATCAATGAAGTGAAGTTATTAAACGTCGGGTATCGGTCCCTAGATTTATTGATCCAATGCCCAGGTATTTTCAGGTAAGTGCATTCAATTCAATGAAGTGAAGTTAGCTTTCAATTTCAAAATATGCCTGTATGTCATTTTGAGTACTGAGACATAACTTTAGGTTTTAATAATACACACATTTTGTTGAAAAATAGTTACACTCTTTAACTACATTTATTATTGTTTCTTAGTCCTAGGAAATATTTCAAGAAGCCTTTATATTCTGCCTACCCATTTTGTACTGTATTTTTGGTACTATAACTATCTTCTAGTATTTAATTTAAAGTAACCATATGATAGGTAAGTTTAGTTATTCAAACATAGGGTTATATTTTACAGTTTAACATCTTTTGATCATATTTAACATGAAATATATTGTTTGACAGTAAGGCAAGAAAAATGTCAGTTTCTTTCATATGTATCTAGTGTAAATATTCTCTTCAGGTATAACTGAACCAGCAGTTAGGTTTGTCTGCCGTGTTGTGACATCAACATTGCACCGCTACAGGGATACAACATCACAATTTTATGTCAAAACTTTGCTAACATATCTTAGTACCAACCATCGTGAATGGACATTGCGTAGTTTCCTACCATTGTTACTTGACATATCAGAAAATTTACGGAATACAGTTACGTCGTAAGTAAATTTTCCATACAATAAAACTAAATACAAATTGCAGATTATCTGATACTTCACTGTATATTATTCTAACGTGTTTTTGTGAAATAAATTTATTCTTATTCTTAATTTTTTTTTTAGTAAAAGTACGTGCCAAAGTGGTCTGTTTGCATTGCACTGGTCAGCTGTAGTGGCTGAATCATCACTTAAGAACACAGATGAAGATGGTGTTGACTACAATTCCTTAGTTTTATCCCAAGCCAATTTGTTGGCTGTGGTCACGGCTTATGGAAACAAGAAGAAAAATAATAAAGCATTTACTGCTGTATGTATATTAAAATTAACTAGTGCTAAATTGTGTACAAATGTTAATGAAATTGTGATTGGGTGATATAATTATTTTTCGATTTTAGTTGCATGCCTCATGGAAAGCAATTGGTAAGACAAAAGCCACCAAATGGTTTGATGTCCTCAGCACATTACCAGCTGACTCTGGTCCCCAAGTTCCCATCATTTTCTCTGCCCTTTGTAGACATTTTAGGCAAACTGGAGATGAAGAGATTGTCATTAGTCATAAGGTAATATTATTACAAAAATATAGGTCCATGCACAAAGATTGTTTTTAAATATTGTAAGATTAATCAAATAAATATCTGGACAGGCAAAAATGATGGATAGCTTCATAAAGAGTCTGATCAGTGTTAAAAACCGTCCCAATGCACACTACATCAGTGGTTGCGCAGACATGCTGCACATGGTGACCTTGGAGGATGTCAAGGACTCCTTGTTGCCAGCTCTGCAGAAGGCCATGCTTCGCAGTCCCGAGACTATCATTCAAGCAGTCGGTGAGGTGTTTGCCAATCTGCAATTATTTGTCGATGGAATTGCAGTCGATATTGGCAAAAGTTTAATAGGTATGGATAATTGTAATCTTAAAAATTATTGTATTTTTATACAGAGATGTTCACTTTAGTATATGACATTGGTAATAGTGAACAAGATTGTGGCCTTGTGCAGGTAATCTGCATTCAAAAGACCAGTGGGCTCGAGCAGAAGCCAACAAGGCGCTAGGGCACCTAGCACGCCGATGCTCCGCGCTGCCGGCCGCGCGCACTCTGCTCACCAGCGCCTTTGCCGAGTACCACGGCGCCAGCGGGAAACTTACCTCCAGCGAAGATAAAATTGCTGTACTACAGGTCAGTATACAGGCCATACTTCAAGAGTAATCGGGCAAACAAAGGATGCATATTATTTTTTCTAATATACTTATGATCACAATCCCATCTATAGTAGTTCATGTAGCTCACAAATGAACTGTATAATAACAGTCCAAACTGGATTTATACAAATATGTCTGGAATGGTTGTTTTTTAGGGTGCGGGTACACTAAGTGAACTAGCGGTGAGTGAGGAGGACTTCACGGCGCTGTACGAGGAGGCGACGAGTCAGGTGGCACGCGTGCTGGACAGCGAGTCCCACGAGCGCACCCTTTGCGTGGCGCTCGACGTGCTCAGCCTGTGGACGCAGCGGCTGCGGGCACCGCTACACCCCAAGGTCTATGAGATATTCAAGGTGTGTAACGAGTCGACCTGCAAAGAATTAAATATTGATTCCAATAAATCACTATGTTTAATTTAAAACATATGTTATATGCAGAAGAACTTGTCGGCAAAGAACAGTACGCCGGCGGTTCGGAGCGCGTACATGTCGCTGGTGAGTCGCGCGGTGCGGGGGGGCGTGTCCGCCGCGCATGCGCAAGCACTCCGCCCCACGCTGCTGACCACCCTCGAGCGCGCCGCCACGCAGCCGCCACAGGTGATCATCCACACATACACACCTAGAATATCAGTAAATATATGTAACAAAATATTGTAAAACACTGGTATCATTCGATCCATTTTGTAGCACCCAGTTTTAAACGAGGCGATCTCGGCCATGCTGGGCTTAATACTGATGGACGAGGAGCGGCAGCTGGCCTCGAAGACCGCGGTGTGGTCCATGCTGGTGCACCCCGAGAAGCATGTGCTGCTGCAGGACCGAGTGCTCGCCGCCGCACCGGATGATGGTGACTAGACCTTTTTTACTTTTCTATTGTGCACATACGAAGTTTGTGACCATTGTTTGTATTTGAATTAGTTTGTTATTTTATTTTCAAGAGTGACTTTCTATCGGCAAATCGGTTTATTGCAATAATTTTTAAACTATGTGATTCGTTTAGTGTGTCAGTTTATCTTAATTGGTGCTGTGATCGGTTGCACTATAACATTTACCCCTTTATAGTCCTAACGCAGGTGGTGTTGGTATGCAGCGCGGCGCTGGAGCGGTACGCGGCGGTGGCGCGCGACGGCGGCTCGCCCCTCTACCGCGCGCTCGTCCTCGTGCTGCTGTCCACCGCCAAGCCGGTGCGCACCGCCGCGCTGCGAGAGGTCAGCTCCCTCCTCGCCAGGGAGGACCGGGCGCAGGTGGCCCGCTTCCTGGCCCTTAAGCTCAACGAAGTGCTGGAGGAGGGCAAAATATTCACCACCAAGGAGAAAACTTCCCCTGAAGAGAAGACCGAAGTTACCGGGAAAATTATTCTAGATTGTGTTCATGCCATTTGTTCCTACAGAGGTGAGATCTCTTGTCATTACTGCACTATAAGTTTTTATCTTTGATCGAGGCCGAGAGTTCTGTGTTTACTTATATAATTCATTAAGCTAATATATTAAATATGAGAAAATGATGTTTCATATTATTGTACAGATTACCCTTCTGACGAGTTGGAGAGGCTAGCTATAGACATCCTGCCGAGCTGCCACCACCCGGTGGCGGCGGCGGGCGGCGGTGGTGGGCGCGCCTGGCTGCGGCTGCTGGCACACCTGCGCCTGCAGCCGCGTGATCTCGTCGCTCGCCACTGCAGCCACCTCAGGGCCACCTACATAGACGGATACACGCCCACTCCGGTACAGCGCGTTGAGCTTTTACATTCTGTCATGTTTTCGGTTTATTTTATATTTTGGAGTGTGACATTTGTGATCGGAGCTAAGCAGGTTGTATAATATGTTGTGGTGTTGTTGTGCAGACGATGTCCAACATCGTGTCCTCCCTGGTGGCGGCCAACGAGCAGGCGGTGGGCGGCGCGGCGCTGGCGGCGGCGCTGGACGCGCTGCGGGCGCCCGACCTACTGCGCGTCTCTCGCGACGAGTACTTCGTGTTCCTCACGCCACCCGGCGACCTCTACGACAAGAGCGTCGTGCCGGGGTACTACTGGCTCTCACTAAACTTATATATTATTTACATGTCACTGTGTGATGTTAAGTGAAATACTTGTATTAACAGCAATGATGACGGCAAGGAGATGAATTTGAAGCGCGAGAGCAAGGCGTACAGCTATAAAGAGCAGCTGGAGGAGCTACAACTGCGCCGCGAGCTCGAGGAGAAGC